GTGTTTGTTTTTGGAACAATTCTCTGCTTTCTTGCTCATTTATGAATCGCTTTCCCTGTAGGTCAACCACCGGGTGACGCAAGGATGGTTCGGGCAGTAATGTATAGAATCTAATTTCAGACTGTTCGCTCCACTCTGCTTGGCAAATTGGATTACCAAAATGTTCAGTTTACTACTTTTTTGGTTGATGAGTGATGAGATTTCTGGATTCGTTTCTAAGGTTTGAAGCCAGACCACCGATGAATTTAAAAATTAATTTGGGCTTATGATAGATAATGAGGTTTGGAAATAAATTGACGAAAATTAGCCTTCAACGTGAGATGCCCGCACTAAAATGCATTTGTTGAGGCGTATCCGCACGTCTCACACATCTTACGCCTTCAGTGTGAGATGTCTGCCTATACTTGTTGGATTCTGAAATGCGAAAATTTGTATATGATTAGATTGGAGAATTTAAATAAGTGTAGGGGCAGAAGAATGGTTTGACATAAAAATCAAAATCCCAAGTTGCTCGGGTCTTTTTTCCGTTTGGAGATATTTGCAGCCGGTTGTATTTGGATTTCAGTTGGTGTTTTGCGATTTTTTATTTCGGGTTCCACTTCTTTGCTGACTACAGCTTCTAATAAAAACAAAATCCGCTTATTTTGGTCTGATGCAGTTCATAGTGCCGTTCTTCGCAGCTACGCAGCTTGCAACTCTTCCACAGTTGCTTTAATCCCTGTTGCATGGCTTGGTTGTTAGTATGCTCTGATTTTTATGCGTTTTTTGCATCTGTGCAACGCAAAAAACGCATAGGCTGTAATTTTGCAGCGTCACTTGTCAATTACTGATGTGCCTGTGAAAGTAAATTAAGCTTTCCAACCCCTCTGCATCTCACATGCGGACACGTGGAAATTTCACGCAGGCACTTTTGCAACTTCAGAATCGAAGCAGCAAAGGGACTGGAATTTTCTGAGCATAACCGACGGCTGCGTTTGGCAAAAACGACTTTCACATTCTTTTCGTTTCACGTATGCATACGCGAAATTTAACGTAGCTCCGCAAACAGAGCAGTTGCAGCGCTGAAATTTTTCTGGTATGAACACATGTAATTCTACGTGAGTCCGCAACCAGAGCAGCTGGAGTGCTGAAATTTTTGTACATGAACTGGAAATCATTGCAATAACTTATAATAGTCGTGGTGTCTACCCTCAGTTCTGTTAACTAGAAGCATCTCCTGGAAAAAGCAGTACCATTTGCGACAAAATCCTGCGGAGGAACTATGCAAAAAACGCATCTTCGCACCGGTAACTGGTGCGCGGTCGATTGAGTTTTTTTTGCTTTTATTCATAGGCTCAAATTTACTTTAATTTGCTTTCCCTTGTAGTACTGCGTTGCCCCTTCCTGTTTACCATTTTCTCCAGTCCCTGCCTTCGAACTCCTTCAGCCTTGACGTTCGTTTCGTCTCTTGAAGGGATTACCAACTCAACGATTCTTCAGACAAAAACACTTTGACAAATGTGCAGCCATTTTTCAAGTTCCGCTGCCACATTTTAAGCATCCCAGACAATAAGCTATTATTAGAAATGCCCAGGAACTGCAAAGTTTATTGATGAAATACTGTTACTCAGCACATATTGGTCGTTGAATGTTCAAGTCTAATACTTGCCAAAGTAATTCTGTTGAGGAGCCATTGAGCTTTTAGTCCACCAGGATATGATGAAAGCATCTGAATCGCCAGAAACTAACCACCGAACAATGCAGCATTGATCAAAGTAATCAGAAAGAAGAAAGAAAATAGCATAGTTGTTAGCTAAAACATTAATGAATCAGTGACTGAATCATTAACAGCCGTTGCTCAAGTAACAAATCTAGTCAGATTGTTTGAAAATTAAATATTCAAACGGACTGGATGAGTTTGCAGACTGTGTTTCATCACTTAGCTGTAAACACAGACAGAGCATCGGATGCGAATAGGAGTGAGAATTGGAGTATTCTGAGCAATCCGATCTGTTCTCAAATACCGACTATGATAAGGTACCTTGCCGATGAGCTGTAACATAGTTCGGCTCATTGCAGGTATGGATAATGCGCCGTTTAAGGTGGTGATGCTGTCAAGAAGAAAGTCGCAGCCGAGGATGACGTTGAGTGAGTTGTCGCAGCTGACTGCTGGAATTCTGGCAGTACGTGCAGCCCTGGTGCTCCTCATCATTGTTATGATCATTTTCACACTGATGAAAATTTGCAAAGTCGCTTTTCGAATTCAGGAGCTTTGGCAGGAAAAACGTAAGGCGCGTTTTGAAAATGTCAAAAATATCAAAACTCCCTTCATAGTATCTCACATAGTTCACTCGCTCTGAGAGGCCGAGACACTCAAAAATCGCCCAGCAAGACCAACATCACCTAGTTGCTAGCAAGATGCTTCTTCCCAAAAACAGCGCAAAAAAACTTAGTTTTTGTTATTTTTCATCGTTTTATTCGAGTTCTAGTAATTTTTGTAATTTTTGAAAGAAAAAATTGTGCAAAACTTTAAGTCAAAAATTATTTTGCCGAATTTCTAACTGGAAGTAAAATTTGAAAATTATGTTTCAAAACTGTAGCACTGGTTGAAATGTGAAGTATTTCGGAACATCTACAACTTTATCAAGGCACTTCTGGAGGAGTAATCGAACGGAATTGGTGAACTTTCCAAAAAATGAAGCGGACCCCAGGTTCACCAGCAGCTGACCACTAGATGACTACAGCACTGGTCAAAGCAAATGGAAAAGTTGCCAGATGTACCAGCGGCAAGAAGAAACACAATAAACACTTGATTCGTGCTTTAAAAAAAGGAAAATAGTTATGGCCAATATGCTCCGACCAGTACTTTCTTTCTACGGCAACTGTGAACAATTTTTTAAAATTTGGCAGAATTTCATTTTTTTTAACTTTAAATTTCACTTTTGTAGAGAAAACTTGCGGATAGTTCAATGCCACAAATAGTAATAGGGCGCACTGGAAGTTCCAGTAAAAAATCGAGCAGAGAAAGGCTAGTTGCATTTTAACGTTTTGTGTGTCGCGGAATTCTGCTTGTGGACTTTATAAATTGAGATGCAAACTTAACGCACAACAGCGGTCAAGTGAAGGTCATCTATTACTTTCAAATAGTAATAAAGGATGTAAGAATATTTTTGTTTAACATTTGAGGCGTGGGTGTATCAACTAAAACAGCAGTACACCAAAAAAAAAGCCTTTGCGAGAAACAAAAATGCAAAGACTGATCCAAAAAAGCGAAATTTACCCGAAAAATGAGAAATTCAGTCAAAAAAGGGGATGAGGAGGAATTAGTTTAAAAAAAACGACAGAAATTAGTTAAAAAGCTGGAATCAAAAAAGAGGCAAAGATTCAAACGAAAAAAAGTATGATGCCGTGTCAAGTAACACTACTGACATGGAATACAGCGCTAAAGAACGACTACAACGATTTATCGTTTCTGGACATTTTAACTCGCAATTTTTGGAACTGCAATTTAAAATGCCCAGAAACGATAAATTGATTTTAAACACAAGGAAATTTCACATTCGCCCAGTTGTCAGCCTGCTGCCGATCCTAGTGAAAGTCCCCCCATCCTTTTGGAAGGAATTATGACCACCTCGTGGGCAGCACTTATCACAAACACAAGTATTTCCGAGGCTTCGCTGTCGAAGACAGAAGCACTTCGCAAGGCTGGCTTTAGCAGTTTCGAAATATCCTTGGTATGTGTTGAGCACCACCAAAATTGCCACTTTCAGAAGAGCCTTATTGAGTAGGAGTCTAGGAGTCTTAACTGTACCCTAATACGAAAACAAACAATAAAGTTAAACCTAATAAATGCATCCTCTGCTCAAGCAACTCAAATTTTGCTCGTATCAGCCCTACTTGATGACTTATTTCAGCAAAAGCAAACAGTCACCATTCGTTAAAGATGTAAAGGAAGTGCTTGAACAGTCCAGGAAAACCAAAAGCGAACCAATAAAGAAAGCGCCAAAGAAGGATAAGGACAAGGTGAATTACTTGGCCTCACACTAGCAGTGAATGAGTTGGACAAATAGGGGGATGGGTGAGAGGTTCCAACTTTGCTAAATTTACAAGAATAAAGGGGAGGGAAAAGGGAGGACGGGGAGGATGCGAGAACAGATATCCCCTCCTTCCCCGCGGCCCCCTCCCCCGAAAGATGCTGAGGTTACAAGATTGCTCTTCTTCTGCGGTGATGTTTCTACGGTGAAGAATCTCGTGTTATAATTATACACTGGTGGGGAAAAAAGAAGGAAATGAAGGAAGTTCTGTTCTTAGAGTTAAATTTTTCCCTCTTCCTCTTTGAAAAAATTCAGTACCTCCTCCCTTCTAGAACTCGATCAGACCTTCTACACCTCCTTTCTTCTTATCAAACATTTTGTTCGAATATAAACCTCAAAAAAAAAAAATCAAATTGAAGATTTAAGCCATTTCTCGAAATTCTTATGATTCAGGATTCAGTTCCCATTTCTCGAAGCATCCCAGTAACATCACTAACAGCAAAAGCTCATATTTCATTTAAGCCGGACAATCCCGATATTCTTGATAATTTTGGACAATTAAGAAGCGTTGATTTAAATGGAGGTTCTTCTCAACCCTCCATTCAGCTGGATTTGCGTTATCATTTTAAACGCCCTTGGTTGTCTTTTACCAAAGCGGGGATGTGTCTTTAACTTTTCTTAGCCAACCCGGGATTTATCCCTGACTTCTCCCTACCAAAATGAGGATCCCTCGCTGACTTGCAGAAGTACTTTTGAGATTCTTCGGTTAAAGCAGGGATTTTTCTTGAGCATTTCTTGGCCCGAAGCAGGGACGTATTCTTGGCTTTTCTTGAGCAAAACGAGGATATGCCCTCAATTTTTCTCGGCCAAAGGGAGGCGGGTACACTATCGGCTCTTCTTAGCCAAAACAATTTCTGCATTCTTGATTACAAGTGCCTGCAGGTAATTTTAAAAAGATAGCTGCTTGCAAATTTTCTAGGCACATCTCTAACTGAGTTTGTTCTCGTAGACTACGGAACCGGCATCAAAATCGGTCGCAAAAGCTGACTCAAAATCGACCGCAAAAACGGATTCAGAAACGACTACAAAAACGGATTCAAAATCGACCGCGAAAACGGACTCAAAATCGGCTGCAAAATCAGACTCAAAATCGACTCCAAAATCGGCCCCAAAATCGACTCCAAAAACGGACTCGAAGTCGACTGCACAAACGGATTCAAAATCGACTGCAAGAACGGACTCGAAATCGTCGGACTCGGCAGCAACCGCAAGATCCAATGAATCAACGAGATCCGGACGATCGCCAGCAACTGTAAAATCCAAAGAAACGACGAAATCGGCGGATGAAGCAGCAAAGAACGCACCCAATAAAACAGGATCGAAATCGAAAGAGGGATCAAAGACTATCGAAGAACAGGATATTTAGCTACTTTTTTTGCAAAATATATGGGACAATATCTAAAATTCTTTCCAAATTTTACTCAGACAATCGAAAATTACTTCAACGGCACACAATATCCACTGGTTATCAGCAAGGTGAGCAACATGCCCTCAAGCGGACCTTCCATTTCATTGATGACTTTCTCTTTGCTTTTTTAACACAGCATGGGTAACAGGCGATATTTTGCTTTATCATCTGTGCTGTTTTATCCCAAGCAGGTATAGCTGTCCCAATGGAATAATTCTTAAATCTCGTAACAAAACTGGATAAAAAATCTCATAACAAAACTTGATAAAAAAATGTGTAAAATGAGAAAATGCTTGAAGTGCATGAAAATCCTATACTCATAAATTTATGGAACATCCAACTGACCATTTTCTAAGCCCCGGATCGATTTTTA